TCAAAACCATTCATTAAATTGGTAATCGTTCAATTACGCATAATTGTCACGCCAAAGTTAAATTAAAAATAAAAAATAAAAAACAAAAAATATGTAAACACATTTACTTTTAGTAAATAAACTAAAATAAATAAATTGTTAATAGCTATCTAATCAGCGGGTTGTAATCAACTGCTATTTATAAGCATAAAGCATATTAATCTCCTTTCAAGATAAAATTTCAATCTAACTGTAACACCGATAAAGCATAAGTAAATAACTAACTAAGTGAACGTTGATAAGCAAACTGTAATAAATCTTGTTAAAATCATTTTCTAAATAAATAAATTTTAACGGTTCGCAATTTCATTTATATATATATATATATATATATATTAAAATAAAAATAACACTAAAAAAAAAAAAAAACAAAAATTTCTTAATAATTTCTTGTCTTGCAAGCATTTCTCACCAAAAATTTTGTTTCTTTTTTCCATTCGTTCATGTCATGCCATCTATCATATTAATTAATGCATTATATTATATTAATGATGGTTGCTGGTGTGTTGGCGCAAATTATTGGTCTTTTGTGTTTTCTGTTTAACTAACTTATGTATTAATATTTTTATTCATTTTATTTTTCTCTTCTCTTCTGTCACTTTTGTAAGAACTTCTTTACAAATCCTATAAAAATTCATTTCTTAATAGTGTAAAACACGCATGCGGTTTTTTTTTCTTGCTTTTGCTTTTGCTTTTTTTTTTTTTTTCTTCTATTTTCCAAAGCTTGTGAATGAAGGTAACTATCGCATAAGGAGGTGTATGGTTTTACGAGGGCAATACCGTTTGCACAAAACACATATAACGATTTCTGAGGCTTCTATGATCTGACATTACTATAATGAGCTTTCAATGGCTTCTTAGCCTTTTCAACGGAATCACTTTGCAATATAGATTGCAAAAATTTATATATATATTTTTTTTTTCATACAAATCGTAAGCAATTATGAAAGTCTTGACATAAGCAAATCTCATATATCAAATGCATTTAAGGGAAATGTTATGTAACAAGCTAAATAGTTTGTCAGGAAGAATATAATGAAAAGCAATTGAAGAAGAAAATTTCCAACGTAAGCCGTGAGTTGTCGTTTTAGCATTACATAGTTTCTCTATTCACAGATCGCGTAAGCCTCGTAAGCGTGCTAAGTATGGGCTGTCAATGTAATTAATATATAATTATGGTTAAGACAGGGGAACAGCAGAATGCAGTGCGATTTGCTTCTTTTTTCTTTTTTCCTTTCTGTTTTCATGAAGTCATTTATATTTATTTTATTATTTTAATGCATGATTGTATTGCGTGCGTTAACATGCACTAACATGAGTGTCAGTTAGTGTTTAAAATCGTATTGTTTCTTGTAAGACATATTTAATTTTATATATGATAATATATGTGATATATATATATATATATATTTATACGTATTTGCCTTTTTCTTTCTTTGTAGTAGTGGTGGTCATAAATATTAATCTTTTCGTATTAAAAACGAAATAAACAGAGAAAAACATTTTATTGTTAACATTTTTTTATTTTTTTTTTTTTTTTTGATTTTTCTGTTTTTCTTTTCGTTTTAATAACTAAATATTTCTTTGCTTTATTTTTGTTTTTGCTTTTAACTTTAATATATAACATTTTCCATGACCTTGACCTACTTGAATGGAATTTAATTGTCGGTATTGTGGTTTAGTGTATTGCGGTTAATGTTGTCGCTGTGATTGTTCAAAACAAGTGTCACATATAGATGCATATACAATTGCATATAAAGATATATATATATATATATACATAATGTATAAATGTAGATAAATTAGTTAATATAAGATAACCTATACTTAATGTAAGGTAAGCAACTTATTCTCAAGGAATTTTGTAAGCAATTTTTTTCTTTTTTTTATCAAGAATTCTTAAACAAAATCTTTGCTAGGAATAGTCATATAAGGGATTAAATTGTTAGTATTCAATGTAAATAAAGTGCGAACACAACGTGCCTACGATTACTAGGCCTGCAATTGAATGCATGAAATAAATGCTAAATAGCATCTTTTCCATTAAATAGTTAGAAAATACAGAATAGTACTAAAGATCGAAACAGAGTAAATTCTTGTAATTGTGGTAAAAAACCCAAAACTTCACATTTAAATTTATAAACTACTTATGTTTCTAAGAAGTTTCCTTTAAGGTTAAGGTATAGGTACCGTTCTAGCGTAAAATATCTATTTTTGTCTTCTAAAACTTTCTTGCTAGACGGGAAACATTTAAATTTTGTTATGATTGGCGAATAAATGATTCACATGTAATCCATTCATTACGTATGCATTATCTATTCACTGCTCATATTCGTTTATTCCATTTTTCAATTAGCATTGACCTTAGGATTACAATAAGCATTTACATTAGCATTAATAGCTGGCACTGTCATGAGCATTACATTTAAATTGGCATTAGCATTGATATTGTCATTCGCATTGGCGATTGACAATACGGTTTCCATTAGATTCTTATATATTCAAAGAGTTTTCGTGAATTGACGAGGCATTGGAGTGGAAAAGAGAATTCTTTTCTTGTGTACCGTTCAAATGCATCCTTTTACGTACGTTTGTTCAATGGTTTCTAGGATAACTACAGTTTATGTCCCTAAACGCATTCGCAGCTGAACTGTCGGCTTCGTTTCTTTTAATGCAAGTTTGTCGGCTTCAATGCATTGCCCACTTACGTTGACGTTGGCGAAATTAATCAAAGCATTTTCTCCTCACGCCTTACCTTTTACCTAACACCTAATTAATCCATCATCCATCTAATATTTAATTTCCTATTAGCAGTTCATTGCTTAATAAGTACATACCTTGGAGCATACATACCTTTTAGGACAGCTATGACATTTTACCTATGATTATAATCAGTCTAATACTAACAATGATTTCTGACGTTAATCTTAATTGCTTTGAAGTGCTATTAGAAAATGTAAGGATATGTTCAGCTCAGCATTTCACTTCTCTTACCAGAGAACCAAACAGTAGTTTATTGTATTATTTCTCGGTTAGGGAATGTTGGCGATTAGGTGAGTTCGCGGTTGGTAAGCTTTCATAATAAAGATTACGTGTTAGCGTTAGGGGCCACAAAAATTTGGTACATCTAGTTACCGGCGCTTGCTTTCACTCTAGCTTAGAGATAATAAAGCATTTTTCTAATTGTTTCTGCAGATAGGAGATGAGATGTGATCTTTTCCGATCTTTCTAGTCCTTTATTATGCACCTGGCAGCATAACAACTTTGATTCAGTTAAGGTCTATGAAAGATAAACGCTTACTTGTAATTCATTAAACAGAATCGAATTCTTAATGATAGATATCGTATGTTGTTAAAGGCGGAATTTTGAATATCGATTAAAGGGTTTACATATAAGTTTGATGACAATAAACAATTTTTATTTATTCACTTTTTTTCTTTTTTTTTTTTGGTTTTTGTCCATTGCACATATTAATTTTTTTATTTTTTTATCAGTTCTATCGAATAAAATTCAATCTATTTGCTGTAAATAGTTGGTTGGTTGAGTGAAAGACTTAAGAAACGAACCTGTTGTATAAACATTAAATAAATTAAATTGCATTTTGATGTTATTAAATCAATTAAGTGCAACGAGTATGTGCGTTTGTTTATTTGCGTTAACTATATGAAAGACGAAAAAGAAGAAGAAGAATAAAAAATAAATAAAATAAATAAACGAATAAACAAACAAATAAACACAAAAGTGCCAACATGTTTAAATTATTTTGCAATAATCATAATAGCAACGACTAGTACAGCTGAAGCTAAACGCAACAAAAAGAAAAAAAATGAAAAAAACAAATCAAACGTATATGAAAAAAAAAAAAAGAAAAAATGTAAATTTGCAACGAATTGAAGTGAATTGAATTAAATTCAATCAAAATCAGATCAGATAGAAAAATAATTTTTTTTTTTCTTTTGAACTATAGACACGGTTTTCGTTGCAAAACTAATACAGCTTGTTATGTTAATAATAATAATAATTATAATTATCACTTTTGTATTTTTTTTTTTTTTTTTTAAATTTTTGAAACAAAAAAAATAAATTTATATAAAATAAAAAAAAAAATTTTTTATTTAATAAAAAAATTTTTAAAGGTTTTTGTAAAATTTAAAAAAAAAAAAAAAAAAAAAAAAAAAGGAAAAATTCCTACCAATAATGAAAATAAATATAAAAATTGAAAGCTTAAACCTCAATTGCAATCGAATAAAATAAAATGTAAAAAATGACAATTAAAATTTATTAAGACGGTCGGTCGGCAAAAATGTTTAATAATAAACTAATTAAGTGAACTACTTGAGCATAAAGCGACCGCAAGTTTAGTTTCATGTTTTTTTTTTTTTTTTTTTTTTTGTTTTTTTTTTTTTTATTTGCAAAAAATTTTTTTAATTTTTTTTTTTTTTTTGTTTTTTAATATTTAACTAAAAGTTTTTTTTTTCTTGGTTTACGTGCTTAGGTCAGAGCTTCTAATAGATTTCCGGTAACACAATTTATTTTATTGAGCAGATAAAGAAAAACTCTCTGTCATTATCTCAATGAATACTGACAGTTCGATTTTACTAAGATATATCTCCTAAGTTGGGTGATTGTACGCACATTTACTTGCATTGGTTGCATTCGCTGACAAAGAAAAATCTAACACTAAAGCTTTTGTTAAGCTTTCGGTCCATATTAATGCAATGCCTATGACTTTTAAAAATTTTTCTTACAATCCTCCACAATACAATTCTAGTTTTCTAGCTCTCAACTTTGTTTATCTTTTTTTCCTTTTTTCATTTTTTTCATTTTTTTTCTTATATATATTTTTTTTATTATTTGCGCCTTTAAATGTTTACATGTCTGCGTGTATTTAAGATTAGAATTTTTCCATAGACTTGCCGAATGAACACTTACTATAAATATGCTTGGACTTGATTCAGGGAAAACATAAACCAATTAACTTTAAACTGCAACAGTTACGCAAGAAATAAATCCTTAAAGAGAAAACTTTAACAAAATGTTGAAATTGGTAAGAATTTTGTATTTCGTTTGGGAAACGATATTCGTGCCAAAGTGCTAATAAATTCATTTAATAGAGAATTTAGAGGATTTGTTAAAAAAATAAACTCGAGAAGGAAAGGTTGGCTACATATATATATATATATATATATATATATGAGTGTGAAAAATAAAAATATTTTCTAAAGGTTTTCGAAAAATGTTTTGCGAAAAATGTGTAAAAATTTGTGTTCAAGCCTTTAATAGACTGCATAAATTGGGAATCACTGAAACACCCGCAAAATATTAAACGCAAAGTGTTAAAGTGTCAAAAGTTTTAATCGATTGAATTTCGTGAACCTTATCTCATTTGCGTGGCAATAATTTTATTTGTTTTTGCCTTTTATCGTTTTTTTTTTTTTTTTTTTT